AAGCATTTGGGCTGTATAAAAACCATAGGTTCTACTGTACTATAGTATGTAGTTTCTATTTAATCAATCAATCAATTTGATTTATTCAAACCACCTATTAAATAGACATTATGTAAGATGACCAGACCAGCCTTCTGAGATCCGGTCTTGTTTTGGGGTGGAATTTAGTGTAACATTTACAGCTCTCCTTCTCTGCCCCTTCAGTGCTCTTTCTGGAAATCAGTGTTTCTGAAAATGCTAGTGTTTCTTAATGCTAGTTATGAATGAAAAAACCCAGAACTTCTGGGTTTGCACACAGATAAATATCTTTTTAAATGTCAAATTCAGAGGGTGATGATGTCACGTGGTTTTACACTGATGGTAGTCCATCTTAAAATCCTCTGATTTAAGGGAGGAGAACAGAGGGTTCTTCTGTTGTGAGTCATTTTATATCAGAGCTTGGTCATGCTTCTACTGATGTCAGCAGGAGATTTTCCATTGAATTTATTGATTGAATGTTTTTTTTCAGTATTGTAGAGGGTTAAACTTTAAGTCATCTTACCAGCTGTGAATGGTGTGTCACGTGCCTCATACCTGTTAAGGAAGAAGGTCACCCATTTGCCTTGTCCCTACTGGGTCAAAAGCATCACTAAAATATCCTGTAAGATCATTCATGAACTATTCTTCTAGATAATATTTGTTAGCCAGACACTTCAAATGCTGTGGATTGCTAATCACCAGTGAAGGCAACCCTTGAACATTTGTCATTGTTTTTAAACCGCAGCTGCTTTCACTGGAATTTTAAAAACAGAGAGTTGTGTTACTCTGGCAGACCAGTGCTGCCTTATCCCTCTGCCTGCTTGGATCAAAGCTGCCTGAGGTAGTTCTTCAGCTGGGAAAAAGTATGTGAAGAACTTGGGGAATGGACTGCAGCCTCTCTTGGCACACCCAGGACTCATAGGTGGAGGCTGCAGCGTGTGGAAGTTGCAGCCTCGATTGTCTGCAGCTTCTCTTCTGAAAACGCTGTGACTCTTCCAAAGCACCTTGAGTTCCCTGCATCCAAGGGGAATTCCAACTCTGTTGGCTGTTCAGCTGAAACTTTTGTAGTTGGTTTGCTGTGGTCAAATCACTTGAGGACATTTGGTCTCAGGAGGTGGAGATTTCTACATGGGAGACTGAACTGAGCTGCTGGAATGTATCACACATTACCCACCGGATGGTTTGCAGCCACTTTGATTTGATCTGTGTTTGATAGTGATGAAGATGTGGAAGTCACATATTCCTCCAGCATTAATTATTTACATGAGCCAGCACATCCTGGGCAGCACAGGCTGTGCTTCTGGCAGCAGCAACCCCTGCAGAACGCAGCTGAGAGCCTGGTTCCCTCTGCGCTCCTCTCCTGGGGCACCAGCATCCTCCAGGTCATGCCATGGCTGGCGTGGATGCTGCTGTCTCAGCTGGTACCATGCAGTATTGGGTCCAAACCTCCCTTGGGACACTCTCCTCCTCCCCTCTTTGGAACCAGCACTCTGCAGAGCTGCAGTGGCTGTTGCAGGACCGTGTGTGCACTGATGTTTTAAGCTTGCAGGTACATTGGGATTGTCTAGCTGGTCGGCAAGTTGCTCTGCATTTCTTGAAGGAATTTGCGTGGTCTTAAGAGACAGGGAGCTGGCAGGAGCAGCAGCCACTGGGTCTCTCCACTTGTTTTTGTTGTTGGTTTGCTGCTTTAAAATCTGAGGATGGGTTTCAGTTAGGCAGCTGCTTTCAGTCACAGTGTTGTTCGAAGTAATTGACTTTGGAATTTGGAATAGTGTCTAAATATTGTTGTCAGCTTCACGCTGATTTCTCTGCAGTGAAGCTGAAGTCATTTCACTTATGACCTCAAGCTGGACTTGTGCTTTGCTCTCATGGGAACTAAAAAAAATAATTATTTTAAGAATAGGTTCTTAATCACTTCCTTCTTTTGATGCACTACTTTTGTTTAGCATTTTGTAAGAACGTAGTAGAAAATGTTTTAAACTATTTGTGTTTTAATTCCAGATTTAAATGGCCCTTTGAAGATGCAAGGAGTGTACAAAAATTGATTACAGTTCCTTTTAGGTTTTTTTTTAATAGAAAATCATTTGTTCTTGTTATTCTGAGTGAAGATTTATTAGAGTTTCATTGCTTTGGCAAACTGTCCAGTCACACAGAGCTATGAAGAGATGAACATTAAGTTGACAGATTTCTTAGTCAAAGGCATGTGGGCATTTTGTCTGTGTTGATGATGCATCAGCGCGTTAATCTCTTGTTTCCGAACTGTTAATGTACATATGAGAAACAGAAAAAAGATGTGCTTTAATCTGGGTTTAGAAGGAGTGGTAAGACAAGGTATGCAGTGATTTTGAGGCAGAGCTGGCTGTGCAGTGAACACTGTGAAGGTGATGAGATAGTTTGGAGAGGTGGGGAAAATATTAAACAGATTGACTGCCTGCCCTGACCCACAGCAGCTGGATAACAATGAGATAAAATAACTTAAATGAGCATACACAGTGTGGTTGTGCTGAGGGTCTTGGAGCCCAGCTACAGAGAACAACCCAAGTACATGAATAATTCTTTCCTGTTCCTTGCTGATAGTTTACGTGTTTGCTATTACTTCCAGCCAGTGAAGTTGCTTGCTCCAGCAAGTCTACTTGCCTTTGAGGGAGCCGATGTTCTACTTTGTGTACCAGGTTTTGTTTGTACTTTATTTCTTCTCAAGCCCCAGAGTCCCAAAGGCTGCAGCATGGCTGAGGGCTCAGCACACGGCGTACACCCTGAAGGGACATGGGGCATGGACCACGGCGAACGCAGGACGCACAAGCTTGTCACTTATCTGCTCTCTTGCTGCTGTGGATTGTCCTTTTAGTCCACACAGAATCACACACACAGAATGTCAGGGATTGGAAGGGACCTCAAAAGATCATCCAGTCCAACCCCCCTGCCAGAGCAGGAATCTAAATGAGATCACACAGGAAGGCGTCCAGGCGGGTCTTGAATGTCTCCAGAGAAGGAGACTCCACACCCTCCCTGGGCAGCCTGTCCCAGGGCTCTGTCACCCTTACTGTAAAGAAGTTTTTTCTCAAGTTTAAGTGGAACCTCCTGTGTTCCAGCTCACACCCATTGCCCCTTGTCCAGTTGATATCTGGTCTCTGCACCCGCTTCCCTATGTGTACAAAAGCGTAACAGTTTATTTTTAAAGAGAACAAGGAGGGAGGGGGGGAATCTTTTTATTGCTTTGTAAGAGCTCACCTGGTAGTGATTTAACCCATTGCTACAATGGGCATTATATGCAGCAGTAAAATGGAATGAGCAGAGCTGGCTTCTCTTCCCCTGTCGCCTGGCTGAGGTCTGGCATTTGCTCATCTGTTCCTGTTGTGGTTGTGGCAATACCTGAGTGGTCACAGCAGTTGTGGTGCTAACCAGGGAGAAAAGAAATGATGAGCCAAATACTTGAAGAAAGTGGTAGCTTAATATCCTGCTATTGGCAGCTCTGGCATTCTGGCTTCTTTTGGGTAGGCTGCAAGGACTTTTTGCTTGTTTGTAGTATTAGAAGTTTTATTACAAGTTTTCTTTAAAAAGAGCTGCTATCGGGAGGTTTCCCAGCCCAAGTAGGAAACTGGGAATCAGCTGTCTCCAGTGTCATGCCTGCCTCTGCATGGCATTGGCCAATCCAAGGGAAGTGCCAGACACTTCTGGAGGATGTACTTCCTATTCTTACAGTGATTTTTAGAGTTTTAAGTATAAACCAGAAACTTTAAAGGAAGAATAATTCAGGTCTTTGTACTGAATGGGTGACAGCAAATACACAGTGTCCCAGCAAGGGCCAGTTCTAGTGCCAGTGCAGTTCACAGTAGTGGTCACTCCCGATGGACCAAGTGCTGGGTGATCTTTTCTGAGAGGGCAGAGTGTCTGGAGATAACATTGCTCCTGTCACTGATTTGTGGGCTCTTCACTACAGAAGACCTTAAACCTCTTGACCTGATGCTTGAAATGTTTCAAGATGAACCTGTTGCTTTGGCATGTGTTGACATAGTGGTTGCAGTTTGTACTGCTGGTCCGCTCCTGTTGTAGGAAGGAAGCACAGACAGCGTAAGGAGATGTAAACTAGCAAGATGTAGGGCTGAAAGCACAAAAAATGAGAAGGAGAACCTGGGGTAGGCACGATACCTATACTTGAATTTACTACATTATGAGTATTTCCTCCTTCCTCTGCTCTGTCAGTTGTGTGGATTAATGATTCATAAAGGTGTGTTTTAAGGGGTGGGTAGTTGGTGTTTATACAGCGCTTACTGGAGTCCCTGTTGCTTCTTCCTTTTTCCTTCCATCTCCCTCCCCTCTCCCAAGACTGTTCATACATAACCCATTTCTCTTTGCAGCCTTCTGTGTCCTTGCAGAAAAGTTATTATTTCGAGCCTGTTGGTGATCTTTGTGCCCAGCTGTGTGTAAGCATTGTAGAATTGGTGGGTATATAGTTTTTCTTGGGACAGAATTCTTCCTTTCCAGTGTTACCAGCCCAGAAAAATCAAACAGAACTATAGAAATTAACTTGTGTTGACTTCATCCAGCTCCTCAGCAAAATCCAAGCCAAAACTATATGTGACCAAACGTGCAAAATCCTCTAGGCCAGATTTTGGGCTTAATTTTGAGCAATCTTGATGGAATCTCATAGGCTGACATTTGAGAAGGTGGGATACTGGCAAGGAGAAAAGTGTGGGTGAAATGAGTTTCAGTCCTTCTGAAGATAATTGTAATTGTGAGGCCAGTTGTGAGAGTTGTTAGCAGGCAGATGGAAACATGAAGGAATCTTGAGAGCTGGACTCGTCTCTGGCACATAGATCAGTAAGCCACAAACAGCGTGTGGCAAAAGTTGTCACTGGCCAAGCGTGGCTTGTTGTACTTTTTTCTGTGGACATTTTGACAGTTTAGGGGGATACTTAGTCTTGAAAGGAGCAGGAAGAGAAAAACTGAAAGTAGAATGTTTTTGTTTTTGTTTTTTTCAGTGGAAAGCTGGTTTCACCAAAATGGAAAAATTTTAAAGGCTTGAAACTTCAGTGGAGAGATAAAATCCGTCTCAATAACGCCATCTGGAGGGCTTGGTACATGCAGTGTAAGTATCACAGCGCGTTGTGTTGCTTGCTGTGTGAAGTCTCTTCTCAGAGACATATATATATAAAAGGTTCAAAAAAGAACTGCAATTACTGACTAATGAAAAGCTCAGAAATCTGTGGAAGGCCCAGATATCTCAGAGGCTGTCACAGCAGTGCCTTTGGATCTGTGCTTTTTAGAGATGTCCACACAGAGGCTGTGCTGAGCAGTCCAAGCACAGCCTGAGATTTCCCCATTTACTGTTGGCTCGCTGGAGGGAACCCTGACTAGATTTTTTCATATCTTACCGTTGAAGTGACAGGGCTTTCTGCAGAGCCTGCATCTGCTCAGCACTCAGGTTTTCATTCTTGTTTCAGACCTGGAGAAGCGCAAGAATCCAGTGTGCCATTTTGTGACTCCGCTGGACGGCTCTGTTGATGTCGATGAACATCGTCGGCCAGAGGTGTGTAAAACCTGAGGAACAAACTGATAAGCTTTAGAGTTTATAACAACATTTTCTTGATGTATCTTCAAGTCTTCCAGATATGAGAGCAGCATAGCGATTCTTTGCTCTGTTGTCATTATTTAGAAGGAACCATGAATATAAAGCAGAGTGAACCCATTTTTGTAAGTTTATTGCACTGAGATGATCAAGGTGCAACCAGAAGGACATTTATTATCTCTGTAACTTAGGTCTGTGTTCTAGTTTAGTGCAATGTGAGTCATAGAAGTGCAGTTTGAATAGTTTAGATTTTGACAGTTACTGATCTCTTCTGGCTTGAGATTGCTGAAGTTAGTGGGAAATCAAAGTGATGACTGGTTTCAGGATTGAATCTAAGTGACTCTGTGAGAATTTTCTGTGTTTTATTTATTGATAAGTTGTGTTTCAAGACAACAATTTCTTTTTCTCTGTCAAGGTGACTTCACAAAAAGAGCATGTATGAGTTGGCGTATTTTCATTTTTGTGCTCTTAGAAACATAAACAAAAACGAACATCTGCCCTCTGGCTCCCTGCAGAAAACCAGTGAGGCCCTTGATGTGGCAATATGTGACTCTGTGCTGTGTAACTGTAGAATTATGTGTAATTCAGAGGAGTTCCACATGAGTTTGTGGAACTGTCTCAGGTTTTTGAAAGAACAGTCTTGGTGTTTGTGTTGAAAGGTGACTTTTGACCCCAAGAAAGTTGTGTTAGGGCTGTCATTAGTCTGCTGTCCCCAACTCGGACACTGTGATCTGTGATCCATTAAAGACCCACGTTGTTCCGATCCTTTTTTTGCTGTTAGTATGTGGCCTGTGAGGTCACGCTTCTCCCAGAGCTGGGCATCAGACTGCTGTATGCCACTCTTAATAGCTTTTGTGTATGTGTGTGCATGTTCATGGCATCTTGTGAAATTCTCTTTGCCTGTTTTCTGCAGAACAGTGTCATATGCTTTATACATTATATTTTAGTAAATTAACTTTAAAAGGTTTGGGGTTTTTTTTGCCATTTCTTAACTTTTGATTATGGTTGAGCTGATGTGGGAGATGCTGACAGTGCAGTCAGACATCTTCTCTTGTTTGTTTATTGTGGGAAAGATGAAGTTAGTACTGTCAGATTTGTTCAGTGATAGCTGAACTCTGGGACAGTCTGGGCTGGTGATACACGAGCTCAAACAGAATTATCCTGCTTTCTTTTGCATTTTTTCTGCCTGAATATTTGCTTGGAAATTGATTGAACGTTCAGCCATTATGTAACTCCGTGTAATTCATGGTATGTGTTTGTGTTCTCAGGCCATTGCAACCGAAGGGAAATACTGGAAACGAAGAATTGAAATAGTGATCAGGGAATACCACAAGTGGAGAACATACTTCAAGAAAAGGGTCTGTTGGTTTACACAGTGAAAGTAGTTTACTTCAAGTTGATCAGCATGTAGTTGCTTTTTGAGTTTTGATGTCACTTTTGCTGGCATGCAGGAATACTTAAAACAGATGAGAAGCTAGTACAGGCATACTCATCTGATCAGTCCCTCTTAACTAAAAATTACTGTGCAGGGACTAATTGTGCATGATTGGGTGTTAAAAGGTTTGCAAAATCAGGTCTTCTATTGGCATATGGAGGGCCTATTCTGACTTCAACATCTGTTTTGTTCTCCTTTTGCAGTTACAGAAACATAAAGATGAAGATCTTTCAAGTTTGGTCAGGGTAGGTAATACCACTGATAAGTGGCAGCATTTATGCTTGTAGAAGCTGCAGTAAGGAACAAAGCTGTAACGTGCAGTAGCTTGCATTGATTAAAATCTAAAGACAAGCATCTTGCTTAAGCCTTAATTAAGGTTAGACACCTTAATGTTTCTGTGCCTTAGAGAACAATGTAAGACTTGTAGCCTAAATTGAATGGAGGAGAGATTGGATGTAAAGTGCTGTGACAGAAGAAATGAGAATTAGTATTGATTGCCCAGGAAGATCAGTCTCTTTGAGGGCTGGCACATTGTTTCATCTTGTTACTGAGTTGTGGCTGGCACTACTGCCCTGCTTGTGTAACTGGATCTGTTGCAGATCTTCCTGCTGCCTACAACATGGGCAAATAATGTGCTGGGCTGCTAAAAAAGGTAAAATGTTTAAAGGAACAATATTATCACCATTTGGTGTGCCCCCTAAAGCCATCAAACCTACTTTGAGTGTATAAACTGATGGGTAGAAGTACTATTCTGATTTGTTTGTTTGTTTGATTTCCTGTTGGAGCTGAGCATGAATCTGTATCTGCTCCAGTTTCACAAAACTCTCAGCTGTTTTGGCCATGAACCCCAAAGCACCATTCTGGTATGTTGGTATAGTTGCAGTTGCACATTGGCTTAGCCACAAGAACCTGACTGTGTGTGCATTTACTCCATGGCAAATGCAAGGGAGTGCAATTTAGCTGAGCCTGTGGTGAAGGATGGGTAAGCCCAGTCACATTATGTTGTATTTTTCATGGGCTAAAAGTGCCCACAAGAATATCAACATACCTTGTGCAAAGTTGGGTTACAATTACACGTCACTACGTTTCAGAGATTCACATATACTTCAAGACAGGAGTCATTTGCTTTCAGTTTTTGCTGTGCATTTTATTTTTAAATCTTTATTCAAACCAAGGGATCATTAAACTGCAAAAATATACGTGTAATCAATGCAACTAGAAAGTGTTGATGAAGTTATCTTGCATCCTTCTAGTCAACATCTGTTTTTTTGGGGGCAAAAACCTTTCCCAGATAATTGTGGTATTCTGCTGAGGTTTTCTGTTGTTGCTCAAATCGGTGTGCTGAAGCTGCTGTTGTATTAAAGTACCACTGATCAGTTGCTGTCCATTTGAGTGGTTTCTAAATGACTCCTTTCTCTAAAAATGTGAAAAATGAAGACTTTTGATATATTTGCACTTGACTGCTTTAGCATTGTCTAGGCAGCCTGACTTTTTTTCCCCTTTCTTTTGGCAGGATGATGATGTGGTTCTCTGGCAAAAAAGAAGGTATGGCAGAGAAACTCCTGTCCCTATGGAGGAAGGCAGCCTCTTGGATGCAGATATGCTTATGTCCGAGTTCACCGACACGCTGTTCTCCACACTGTCTTCACATCAACTGGTTTCCTGGCCAAATTCCAGGGACATAGGTATTTGTTGGCTGTTAGCTGTGTTGATTTTACAATGGGAACCTTGCTAGGAGAAGTCTGCTTTGTTCCTTTGCTGCTTTTCTAGTCTTGCCTAAATATTTTATCTTACTTTGCTGATCCAGATAAAAATAGGTCAGAGAATGTAGCTGTCTAATGCTTTATAGGTTATGGAATCCCAGGTATTCATCTAAATTTCATTTCTGTCTTAGCTTCTTACATGCTGCTCCTAGCGTTGTCCTCTAATGTTACTCTGAATAAATCTTTAATGAGCAGTATTTACCTTAATCAATGGTGACAGCATTCTGATTTATCTCAAAGCATATGTGTGTGTGTGTATTTCTAAGGGAATCCCTGTGTATTTTTTTTTAATATGTCTCTTAGAACAAGTGCAAGTCACACCTGCTGTAAAAGCACTCCCAAGAACCACACAGTTCTGTCAAATGGTCTGTAACTCAAGGCACTGACTGTCTAATGGGGCAGCACGTGTCCAGTCTGCATCATCCTGGCTGCACCGATGTCTGAGCTGTCTGAGCAAGTGCAGAGCAGCTGTGCTTTACAGGAAGTGTACTCCAGGCAAAGTGAAATGGACAATAGTTTATTTTAAAACACTGTGCTATGAGCTGTGGTGGTTCATGTTGTGCTTCCCAGCAAGTTTGTGTTGTGCAGCAGGGGCAGGACAGGCAGGAGGTTTGGGAGCAGGAGGTGTCTGAGCTTGGCAATCCTCAGTTGTTAGTTAGAACCTTCAGGTTTCACCTCTTCCATTTTACTAGTTGAAAGTTTCATTCCCCAGTGGTTTTGATTTCAGAACTGTGCCTTGTTCTGAAGAAAAGCAGATGCTCAGTTCCTTTCAGCAGCAGTTTTTATGTAAACACACTGGCCAAGCCTGGCTGTGGAGCGTGTGCTGGTGTTCTAGCCAAATGCTATATTCCTACTGCTGTTGCTGTGCGAATGATGTGGAGCTAATCCAATCTATCTCTTGAATTTTCCAGCACACTTAGGAAATGCTGACATGATTCAACCAGGGCTTATTCCTCTCCAGCCAAATTTTGATTTTATGGATACTTTTGAGCCTTTTCAGGGTAAGAATCAGATATATGGTCAATTAATTTCTTGAAAATTGCAGTGATTTATGACTTTTTTAAACAGAATATTAAATGTTACAGATATCTACTCTATTTAGAAGGCAAGAGATTTGAGTGACAGGTGAAGAACACTTGATACGTGTTTTCATTGTTCATTATTTCAAGCAGATGCACATGTGGGTAGACTCCCTTGTTACTGTGACCCCAGTCCTTTACTTACCTGGGTTTGAGAGTCTCTTTAGGATTGTTTATTCCAGGGTTTGAACCTGGTTGTTAATTTGCCTTTCAGAAGAACAGCATTTAGATTTTAAATCATTGGGTAATTAAAGATAGAACATCAGATGTGGACAGGAGAACTCACAGAACTACTAAGGTTTTCTCATTTAACACTTCTAAGTGATGAAGTGATTTAACACTTTGTTTGCCTTGGAACATTTTTTGGTGCTCTCAGGACTAACACATGACATTAAACTACTACTGACAACTTTGGTGGTTACAAATCTTCATGGAAATCTGAAGTCACATCTGTTTGCTGGGCCTGCACGCAGTCTGCATCAGATAACTGAGTTTTGTGGGACTGCATTGAGAATCAGCTCTTGGCTACCTGTATGTAGGTGAACCGTAAACAGGGGGCTGATTTTTGTCTTGTCAACTTGCACAGAAGTTGAAGATGACTGCCCTGAGGAGATCAGTTCCTCTGGAAGACAACAATTTGTTGTTGCTTGGTCAGCAGCAGTTGTATGAAGCAAAAATCTTGTGGTTTCATTATTTACTAAATAATAATTTATATGCCTTTGAATTTTAGTATCTAGCAATGCTGTACCTTGAGTATGAAAAGGAGAAAATTAATAGGTGACTTTTTCATATTTCAGATTTATTCACACCCAGTCGTTCCAGTAATTATTTCCCTTCTGTGTCTGCTGTCAGCTCAGCTACAACAGACAGCAGCAGCCATTCTTCCCAGGTAAGAGAGTTTCTCAGTGTTTAAAACAACCTCATCTCAAACACATAGGTGCTGTGAAGACTCTCAGACCTGAGCCATGTCCTTCTCGGAAGGATTTCAGACAAGAGTTTCAGGGGTCATGTCTGAATCTGTAATATTTTTCTTTTCGGTCAGTCTACTGTCCTGTCGTCGGGTTCATTGCCCAACACGCTTCCAGAGGGGAACATCAGTGATGGACTGATTGCTTCCTCAGTACCTGCTCCTGTCATTCCTGATGTTGGCACTGACCAGTGTTCCAGCATTAGAAGCGGGGGATCTTTCATCCAGCCACCAGACTTCACTCCCGACTCGTCTCTCAGCGGGCCACAAACTTTTATGCCAGTGTTTCAGACACCCTTGCCACTGCTTCAACCTGCGACACAACAGCACCAGTCCCCGTTGCCTGCAGTGCCTCTGAACTCCAGCTTAAGCTCTCCACCATCTACATTTGATGCCCCAGAAACTCAGAAGTTTGGCCTCTGTGAATCTACAGTTATCACCCACACAGCTTCTGCTACTTTGACCCACAATGTCCCTGCCACCACCTTCAGCCAGAGCCTGAACCTTCTCCTGGCAACACAGCAGCCAGGTGCAGGAGTGCCTTGTAACCTGACTTTCCAGACTACTGTCCTGCAGGGGCAGCCCCGGCCCCAGCTGCAGTCTGAACTGACATTTGCACTCCCCAAAGTTGTTCCTCTGGCCAGTGCTGAGACAAGGCCCAAACAGTCACAAAAAATAGTGCCTGCTCCGAAGCCTGAAACAGTGTCCTTATTGTTAAAGAATGCCTTCATCACCCCAGGTGAGGAGCACTGGTGAGGTGATGTTTTTCTTTTCTAAGTGAAACTAGCAGGAGGGAGAGACCTTCTTGCTTTTCTTGGTTTACATAATAAGTAAAAATACAGCTTCCTGAGGGTGTCCAAGGAGCCCTGAATCCACTCGTGTTTGGCTACGGTGTTCAGTGGGATGCTCTGGACTGCTGTGAGGATTGGAAGCAGTTTGGTTGTGAGTGTGAAAAGCTGACCTGTGAAAGGGAGTGTCTCCCTGTCAAATTTGTGCTGGGCTGTATAGATGCATCAGTGTGATAGTTTCACTATCACAGTTTCAATCAGGACTAGAACTCTCTGCTCCTGCCCCATAGAAACCTTGGTTTTGATGTTTAATGCTGTTTTGATTAACTCTGCCCCTCAGAGCATTCAGTCACAGCAGAGCAGGAGATGGTGGGGGGATTGTGTGGGATGGAGAATGGCAAATCTGTCCCTGTCATTAACTCATCTGGCTGCTCTGGACCTGCCTGTGCATCGTCACACTCTGTGATACCAGGGTACTGGTGTACATCCTTTGATAATACTTTGAATGTCTTCTGATGTTTGTGCCTGAAACTCTTTGAGACCGAGTACAGGTTGACTAGGGAGCAGCTGTGGAAGTGGACCAAAGCACTGGTCCAGGTGAAAGCATGGGAGTGTCCCTCTCATCCACCATCAGTGCTCACTAGCAAGACCAGGGTGATGAGAATCGTCCCTCCCAGTGGGGAAGGACTAAGAACAGGCAGGGGGAGCTGGAGATCTTTGTCTCAAGCAATCTACAGACTCTTGAGATGCTGTCAGGAGCATGTAGTTTTCAGTTTTGAGTTTGGGTGCCTACGCTGGGACCTCCACATTGGGTGTGATTTGGAGCCATTGGCACTGCACAAAGCTCAGAATAGCAACCGTGAGCAGAGAGAGTTTTGCTTGTGGTGGTTCTTGTGGGAATGCTCAAGGCCAGAGCAGGACAGGCAGTACGCTTTTTCTTGGGATTATCTCACACTGTTTCCAGATTTCTGCTGGCTGGGGGCCAAGTGACTTCAACCACCTGAAATGTGCAACAATAATCCAAGAAAAACCCTGCCTGGAGGAGTATTGTTAAGCAGGCTTTACTAAGGAGTAGGTGTGTCTGCCAGGGCCTGGCATTGTGGTTACCCACCAAGAAAAAAAAGAAATCACTGTACAGATCCAAGGATCTAATTCTAGCATGTCTCTGGGAACAAGTTGGTCCATGATTAATAGCATTAGGGTGTTAATGGCAATCTCAAGACATGTATTTCTCACCTAGTACAAGATTGTAGGCAACTCTCATTTTCAGAAAGCCTGAGCTTCTAGCTTTCTTAGTGCTTCCTGGGTTGTTTTTCAGCCCATATATCACTTTTCCATTGATTCATCAGGTATTTGTAGAACAGCACAGCAAATGGCTTTGTTTCTCATCTACATTTAACGTTGTTGCTGTTTTTCATTCCTGGTAGTGGCACATGTTCAGGGATCACAGTGCTCCTAAACTGCTGGGACACCAAGCTCGGAGATCGTGTCCAAGATTTTACGTAAAGACTGGAGCTTTATTTTTGGCAATAGAATAAACATCAGTACTTGTAATTGAGGCATTTATGCCTGTCATTTCTGTTCAGGACAATCAAATCATCTCATCACTATAAAGCAAATTGCATTATAACCTGTGTTAGAAAGGAGTGTATAACATTTACTGCCCTGTGATAATAAGGACTCAAAAATCTGCACAGATTTTCTTATCAGGTGCAAGACTTCCATGGGAAAGAACTCTGCTATCACCACTTCAGGATCAGCGTTCTGATTTTGAGAGGAAAGTCTGCCAAAGATGCATGTGTAGGATAGAAACATGAAAAATAAAAAGGGGCATCTAAATACTTGCTGATTGTAACAGTTACCCGAATGTGCAAGTCAGAAATGCCACGTTTGTGCAGCAGCATTAATGCACTGCTCAGAGCAGGCTCTTCAGCTCAATAGAGACGTCATAAGTCGGGCTGAACGTTAGTGAACAGTGGAAGGGTTGTGATTCCAGCTTGATATGTGGGAATGCTCAGACAAAGAATGAGCTCCCTGTGTCAGAGTGACAGTGCTCTCTGCCAGATACACCCACGCAAGGGCTGCCACAAGTTTTGTGCGATCCACGGGCCTCTCTAATAAAGGGTATGCAGAAACTGTAGTTAATTCAAAACACAGCTGTCAGTCACAGATGACACAGTAGGGGAGAGGACATGAGATATCCTTGCTCTGTCACCCTGTTCTGCTCTGTGTGTCCTTCAGTATCCTGATGCTAAATTGCAGAGGGGTAGGTTGGCAGTGACTGAGCTGTTGTGACACTTTTCATACATCGTGACTTTATTAGTACAAAGGAGAGCTGAAGCCAATACAGGCCAGAATTAAACTGAGTAAAGTTTGGTTTAGTTTTCTGAAAAAGCTTACAGAAGCTGTGTCTTTGCATGATTCTTCCCTTAGTAACAGAATAGGATGGTTAGTCATGTTCTCTCTAAAGTTTGGGCAAGAACAATATCAACATTAATACCATCTTAATAACTGTACATCTGCACTGGTTAAATTGAGATCTTAACCGATTTATGTTAGACTCAAATACTATAGTGGTGAAAAAACTCCAGAAGCAAGAACCCTGATGCCTGTCATGGGGGCAAGCCTCCTCTATAGACTTTTTTGAGGTTTTTTTGTAACTTTCTCGGTGGAGACAATTGCTGCTGTTCACAGTTATCTCTAGCTATCTAACACTGCAGAACTCCTGGTTCTTTAGCCTATTTTCTGGAATTTTGGTGCTGATTCCCAATCACATTTAGTTGTCTTGTGCTTGTGTGTCATGTAAAACAGCTGTAAAACCAGATAGTGAAAGAAGCTAGTAGAGTGAAATGGTAAGGAAGAGAATTTAATATATGTACAAGGAAGCATTAAGTATTGAATATCCATCCTTCAGCTGGTTTCTGTCATTGACCCTTTCGGGGCCAGCAGAGCAAGCCTGAGATCTGAGAAGTATGGATGTGAGAGGAGAGGTGAAGATGATCCTCCTTCTGTTAAACCCAGCTCTGATAGAGTGAAGACACTTTGCACCTCCCTGATTTACTAGGTACCTCTGTAAATTCACCTTGAAACAGTGACAGTGATGGTAGAAACCTCAGAAATAACTGGTGTGTTAAGAGTCCTTTGTACTGGATTAATGGGATTGAGATGATCCGAAAACTGGTGGCACTTTGTATTGCAATGAAATAGTATCAAATAGGTGCCTGTTAATCCACTCAACTTGTTCAATGACAAGTTATTTCATACAAAATAATCTCCAGCTTTTTCTTTTTTTTTGTCTCATTAACTATTCTAACTTAATTGTGTTCTTCAGCTGCCTTTCAGGGACAGTCCAGAGCTGTGATTGTAACTCCAGCACCTTTAAAAAGAGAGGGGATTTTGACGCCAGCCACGTCTCAGTCTAATGTTGCAATTGCACCAGCTGGAATTGTCAGAGTAAGGAGAAGAAAAAAACCCATATATTTGTTTTCTAGGCCTGTTATTTGCAAGTAGTTAGAGCCCTAATGTGCTCAGGAGGGTAACTGTTCCCCTAAATCTCACCTGTTACCCAGCATATGTGTTTGCATTCAGCATTATGTTTGCTTATTTTTAATTTAGCTACTTTATGGGCCTGGAAGCGCTGTGTAGTCTTCAAACACTCTTGTCTCACACAACAGTAAGATTACAAGGAGACATGTATATGCAGTGCTGTGAATGGGGATGGGTTGTGCTTTTTCTTAATTGTGCAGAAGGTAGAAGGAACCCAGGATGCTCACCTTTCCATTTACCTCTTGGAAAGCCTGTCTTGAGTGTGTGAGTGGGTTTCCCAAGATATTGTACGCAGGAAGATGGACATTGATTGTCGTACATTATGCTGTTGATGTGTTGTAATATTGCTTTAAGTTATAAAGGGATACTGGTCTCCTGCCAGAAGTCTGACACCAGTGCCTGCCAATTCCTTATATATTAGCCCTTGTTTCATGTCATCAGATTGTTAATCATGTATTAATTTGCTACTTTTAGTGAAAGGCAAGGTAACAAATCTCTCTCTCTTTCTTTCTTTCTCTTTCTCTCTCCCCCTTTCTCCTTTGTCTCATCCCTTCTCTCCCTCTGCCCCTTCCCCCTTTCCTGCTTTCTTTTTCTTCCTCCCTGTTTTTCTTTGTGCTATTTCTATGCTGTTCCCAGGCTCCCGGGGTGACGGAGTTCCGTAGTAACATTCTGGTTGGTCCAGCACAGCGAGCACCAAGTAGTCAACAAACCCAGTCCACAGTCTCACATCTCTTCTCTCCTATTGTAGTCCAGGATGTGTTGGTGAAAGAAGAGCAAATCCCTTCCCACAGTAGCAGTTCACAAGTTCCCTCACCTACACCTAGTAAGTTAGAAAGCTATAAGCATTCTCTCTCCCCTACACATGTAAATGTGTTTCCATTGGTTAGGCAGGGTGTAAATGGGCCTTGAGGATCCTTGGATAATTTTTGAAGGAAAAGCTTTGGCCCTTCTACCCTGCAGCTTCAGTTGCATCCAGTTGTTTGCAATTTTTGTCTTAAACTGCTGTGCAGCGTTCCCACAAACGGTGATTTTGTGCTTCCTATAAATGGCTCCTTTCTAAAAGGATGTACTGTCAGAGTCACCAAGAAATGAAAACCTGTTTGAAAGGCATCTGTGTAGAAAGTGCTGAGTATGTTTGTTGTTCAGTATCATAATTTTGATTGGAGGAACTTAGACACAGTCATTTTAACAGTAGGTAAGTGCAAAGACTCCTTTTGCATGCATGTTGGTAGAGCGGTGTCTGGGCTGGTTTTAGAGACTTATGCTGGTTTTGCTGGTAAATGGCTTGTAGGTGTTACCATCATGTCCCAGGGCATTAGAGCCTCAAATGGGGGAGTCTTAACAGGACGATGGAATTGCAGCCTGTGTGTTCAACATGCATTTACTGAAGTGTGTGTGTGTGAAACGAGTGTTACATGTCACTATTTGGGATGTATTAGCCTTGTGCCGTGAAGTATTAAGCTTTCCCAGCAATTTTTACATTTTCTAGCATGTGGTTGCTGCATCAATGGTTATAATTTGGTTGCCGACTGCATTTCAGTTCAATTCTGAATAGAAACTTCTCAGCAGTTACATTTGCTACAGAAAGTTGGTTGTTAATGTGACTTGTCTTTCTTCCTTTATGAAGGCCGAGACTGTCAGAATTCAGGCCAAGCTTCCCCCTGCGCCTCTGAGCAGAGTCCCAGTCCACAGTCTCCCCAGAACAGCTGCTCAGGAAAACCTGCCACTGACCCTAATACGGCTGCATTGGAGGTGTGTGTCCTTCCCTTTGAGCTGCCTTTCTTCTCTGCCTTTGTAGCTGCTTTTCTGCCCTGGTTTCTGAGCATGGACTACAGAGCAAGTTGTGCTTCAGGAATGGTGGAGTATTTGTGCTTCAGGCTTAGCTTGCGCTGCATGTGTGCTGCTCTGTTCAATTTAAAATGTCAGACTTTAATAATCTGATCTGCTCCTCAGGGATGTGTCACCAGAGGGGCCAGGCTTAATTGTACCTCTGCAGGTCCTTATGGTTCTGACAGCAGTTCCTGCTGTGGCTCACAGGAGTGTTATGACAGGTCTCAGTTTACTTGGTCAAAGGTTCCAGGATTGGTTTTCTAAACCATGGCTTTTTGCCATTGTTCTGTTGGGGGTCTTCAGTCTGCAGGGCTCTGGCCATCGCTGGAGGGGGAGTTCTTGACCTGCTGAGTTACTTACATGTCTCCAGTGATGCTATGCTGCTCCACAGAGAAGCAGCTCCACAGAATCTACAAGTTACAGCTGTAAAACACTTCGGGAATTATTGGGGTAAGAACTCGGCGGTCTAGAGATAGCATCTGAGAGCTGGCTGTACCTCATACACAAGCTGACCTTGTCAGAACACTTTCTGTGATGGTATGAGAGACATATGCACAAAAAACAACCAATGCAGGACAATCAGCTGTAACACTCTCATTCATTCCGTTGTGAAAGGGAGTGTTACTTAACCATTTTGCAAGTGCCAACCTCTGTTTTGCTTCTCTGTCTTTGTATAACCTATGAATTGATGTCAGCTTGGTTACTCCTGGGGCAGAAAGGTAAGTTTAGACACTTGCAGCCTGTGATTGCACTGAGTTCTAGTTCTATTGCAGAGGAGAATCAGAACTGCCCCTTGCTGAGAGCATGCTGCAAGTTACTCAGAAAAGTTTGCAGTTACTTGCTTGGCATAAACGCTCATAATGAGGAGTTGCAGCCTGTTCTTGCTGCTAGAGAGCAAGTTGACAGAAGGATCAAATTATTAGGGCTGGCTGATGGTGGGAGAGTGGCCACTAGATGGAGGAGTGTTCTTCAAAGTAAGGGCCCTGCAACGAGGTAGTCTTTATAGCCATTTAAAATGACCTGCTTTGACAGGAATTGCTTTGCATGTGTGCTGTTAGTAATTCTTTTCTAAGACCAGAGAGAAACAGTGAATTTTGCCAGTCTCTAGATATATGTTCTTTTGCTCCTCTGCATTGTTAGTTAGACTACACAGTTCTGTATTGCTGGGTAACACGTTTTTTTTTCAGTTTGGCAAAGCATAGAGGGCACTGGAAATCTCAGTTCTGCTCTTGAACCTGCATTTTCTGTGGTTTTGGGCAGCCACTTCACTGCTTTATTATGTTGTTTTCCTCCATTATAAAATGGAGTGGTGGTGAGGCCCGAAAGCCTGGCCCTGCTCAGAATGCATTCCCAAAGTGCAAACTCCTTATTTTCTTCCAAGAATTTTGGTGGAAACAACTTCTAAGTTTTTAATGCTACAAATGAAAATATAAATTCCTGACAAAGCCTTTATCCTCAAGGTAGGCCAGAGCTGTGGATTCTTTTTTCTTTTTATTTTTTGTCAGACTGCCTGTTTACATCAGAGACATTATGTTTGTATTGGGAATAAATGTTATGGACTGTTTTAAATTTAAAGGCTTCAACAGGATCCTAACTAATTACATGCCTCAAAAACTGGAATTCGACTTCAGAAAAGGAAATTGTGTAACAGTCTTATGTAGGAATTTTTACTTTAGCCAGAAAACCTTACAATTTGGAATTGAATTTAATGCACTAAACTCTTCTTTTGAATAACTTAAATCACTATTTGCAAATTTATAGTCATGTGGCTTTGACTGGGAAGACTATGAATGCCATAACTCAACAGAAGTGATGCTGTGCATTTGAACAGCTGAAATAGCCATAGCAGTAGGACGGTAAAGGAGAACAGCATAGACTGAGCTAATTTTATTTGTGCAGAATCGAAGAATGAAGCATATTTCAGAACAAAAACGAAGGTTTAATATCAAGATTGGTTTCAGTACTCTGAACACCTTGGTACCAGCCAACTCCAAGTCGGTAAGTAATGTGGCAGCACTAACAGTTTAGAATGGCTTTCTTATATTCCATATTAAAAAGACTTGTTAATAAATTTAATCTCTTCATTATTGACTGAGAATGCCAGTCAGTTAATGAAGATACTTGAACTGAGGGACTTGGAAAGGGAAGGGTGCTAAATCCATGGCTTATAGTCAAAAGAATGTGTGAAAGCACTTCATCTTTTAGACATTGTTCTTCTGATGCAGCTTCAAATGTTGACCAAGCCTTTTCCGATGAGATGCTGCAGCTTTAAAGCCAACAGGGAAAGAAGAAAAACTGATCTTTGCAGTCCTTGCTCTTGGGACCCCACTAGTGAAGATTTTTGTCATGTTTGCAGCATAAGATGACTTCGCATTTACTATTATGTCACCTTTCTTCTGACATACTGGCTTTTTATACCTATTCTGGATGGTTTCTGGTCCCAGTAGCTGGACTTGAAAAAGCTCTGGTCCAGCCAGTATTGTGAGCCTGTATTGTGCTAATACACCCACCTATGAGCACAAGTCGTTAGCTTGGGCTTCATGCCATGCTAACTGTAGTTGTGCTGTGTTTGGTGTGCTGAGAGCATGGCAGAGCAACCTTGTGCACCTGCAAATACTGTTGAAACATGTCATTGAGCCAAAGGAAGAACAAAAACATCCAGTGAAATTTCTAGAATTTCCTACACCAATGAGATCTCTGCCTCCCAGGAGGAGTCAGGAGCCTGGCCAGTTCAGATGATTTTGGAAATCTCTCTAGGACTCTTTAGTATCACCCAGCTGCCTTTAAGGATTTGGCCCTGTGCCCACAGCCTCACAAATATTCTCAGGGTTTTTTTTTTCCCCTATCACCTGTCTTGTGCATGGATTTATAGAGGGGAAAAAAAAATTCCCAACAGACTTCTCATTGTCAAATGGCTTTGTCCAAATTAAGAACATGTTCTTGGCTACACTAGTTAACTTGGTTCACTAAATTGAAGTCAAAATAATTGAAACACAGGTTTGTCTGCAGAACAGAATTCTAAACGTCCTTTGAATACCAGTACCTTTTGAAACATGGGAGATATGAAAATGTATTGTGTAGCCTGTTGATCTGTTTACTTAATTTTTTGTAGTTTTGTACATTTAGGCCATAAGTTGTCAGAATAAGATCTGTGACATTGTTTCTGTCTCCTTTGGTGATAGCAAGTCTGTGTTACCTTGTGTTTAACTTCAGGCTTCCTATACTAAATAATCTATATTATCAACTTCAAACAATGCTTTTAACGGCACCATAAAACTAGCAGCAGAGGTAGCACATCCTTCAGTACTTAAATAAAAATTGTAAATATTTTTAAGAAGATAGATAATGAAACCATTTTAAATTACTGAAATACTTCTTTCAGCAGAGTAGCAAAAAACGTAATTTGTGGAAGAAAACAACCACTGCAGCCACATTTCTCTCTGCTAGTACACAAACAGGAGCCAGAGAAATTAAAGTTCAGTATTATCTTAAGTGTTTTGCTCTGCCTGTCTGTGTGCTTTTGCACACAGTTGAAGGAAATTTAAGAAAAGGTGCTGAAGTGCTTTTCTAGGTGTTACAGCAGGTTAGGGGCAAACTCTTCATCTGTCTAGCTTTATTCTGGAAAGTGAGCTCTATGTTTGTGTTTGGTCTAGATCAGCCATGCAATCACGCTCCAGAAAACAGTAGAATATATCGCTAAACTACAGCAGGAAAGAACACAGATGCAAGAGGAAACCAGGCGCCTTCGGGAAGAAATCGAGGAGCTAAACGCTACCATCATGTGAGATTTGGGGAGCTTTCTGTAATGAAGCAGAGCAGCTTGAATGTTGCTTTGGCTAACAGCAGGGAATGTTTGCCTCAGGTGTCACGCCAAAGAACAGATGGGTCTTGAACAGAAGTAGAGTTGCTACCAACTTCCAAACAAAAAGCAGAATTGCTTGGGGTGGGCATTGGTAGCAAACCGTGTGGATATTCAGCAAGCTCTGAGCATGAATGCACAACAGTGACAGCATCAGAAAAGATGCATCGGGTCAGCTAGAATAATTCTGAGAAGCCAGTGATGATGGTTTTTTTCAAAAGCTATGCTCACTGGGTGATCAAACACTCTTGCTCTTCATGATGGCTTTGCTGCAGTTTTCTTTCCAAATGCAGTCCATTTTTTATAGGAAAATATAGTTGAGTACGTAAGACATGGGACTTGGAATCAAGGAGATTGCCACTGGCTGAACGTAACTTCGATAAGTCATTTCACCTTCCTGGTGCCTCAGTTTCCTCTGTGAGTTTATGGTAGTTATGTGCTATTGCAAAGCATGTTGAGAACCCCAGTGGTTTTTCTTCCACCTACAGAAGAGTTAGGCTCAGGCATTATGTTAGACTTATCAGCAAATCAAAATCTTGTTGTTTTTCTTTAAAAGTATGATGGTGTCTGGTTTTATTTTAAATTGATCTGTTTCTTAAGAATCTCTGTAACATTTTCTTCTGTAACATTCCTCAGGAGTAACTCTGTAAATTTTCCCTTGACTCCTAATGTGCCTTTTTCTGATTAGATGCCAAAAACGACTTTGTTCTATCTTATACTTTGCTTTCAGTTTTGTTGCTTGTAATAAGAAGTGTGTAGCAGCTTGAGATACCGCTTTGCTGTGTGAATATAGACAAAGTTGATTGGAAAACAGTATGTATTCCTGGCTATAACAATTATGTTCTGGGGGGGGGTCATGCACTGGGAAGCCATGTTGGTCAAGGATACGGGGGAGACACACTTCTGCTATAATTTAATCTGAAAGAGAAGTCCATCCTTTCTGGTGGGGGTTCTGACCTCAGGACATCTTCTTTTCAGTTCTTGTCAACAGCAGCTCCCTGCTACCGGGGTTCCCATAACACGGCAAAGATTTGACCACATGAGGAGGTTGTTTGATGAGTATGTGAGAAGCAGGACCCTGCAGAACTGGAAGTTTTGGATTGTATCTTTTTATATTATGTTTATTTTACGCTGCTCCAAGATGTTAAATAGCTCCAGGATCTGAAAGTGACATACTTCTAGAAAGTGGCAGAGGTTATCAGGAAGGAGGATGCAATTTTGGGTACCTGGGTTTTGTAGTATTTGGGGAATGGCAAAGGCTTTTGTAGTTAGTGAAAAAGGTTGACAGGCAGAGTAATGTTCCCAAACTTCCCTTTACAAATTCGGATGTAACTGTGACGGAACAGTTGTTCCAACAGCTGGATTGAATCCTTAACACATGCTGACATATTTCAAAATGTCTTGCAGTAAAAGCTGACAAAGTCCAGGAGTGAGTGCTAATAATAATAGTAATAAATCTCCTCCTCATTAAATGACTGTAAGAGAGAAAAGGACAGTTTCATTACAAATATGAAAATACCATCATTTCTGTTGCATATAGGAGGAAAATGAGTGATCTGGTTTTAGGCTCCTAGAGGTAACCCAAGAACAGAATGCTTGTGAATATTAGAATATTGATAGAATAATACCCACGTTGTTCTTTCAGTCACTCTGTAAGTCTATAAGGGCCTGCAAATCCCCTCAGGTATTCCAGGCAACTGTTAGATCTGTCTTGATTGTCAGCCACAGTGAGAAAGTGGTTACACTAAAGCTTCTGTATCCTTTTGGTATGAAAGCATCAGTGTTATATGAAAAAGGTCACAACTAAAAAAAAATGAGCAAATCACATGTGTGTAGAAGTTTCAGTACTTGTACACTTGCAACGGTACCACAGCCTGCAGTTGGTTTGTAGATCAGGTGAGTTGTACAAGAATTTTGCAAAATAAATAATAAGTATTGCTAGGAACAGAGGTTCAGGTTTTTCCTTTGTCTCAGGGTCACAGATTTAAAAAAAAAAATTTTTTTTGAAATGTTGGAATCTCTCTGGTAGTTGAAGTCCATTGAAAAGTCCATGGTTTTCTCTGCAGACAGAGCTGTAGTAGCCTTTCCCATAGTGTTTTGAACTCCTCCTTTGTTATCTCCCTTAACGTTTGATGATTTACAGTTCAGCATTATTATTAAGCCATTGTTTGAGTCCTTCAATGGGATGGTTTCGACAGCAAGCTTTAAGGATCTGGATCAAACTGCAATGGCCTGGTTGGATCAGCACTGTTCTCTTCCTGTTCTGAGGCCAAGTAAGTGAAATTCTGTCCAGCACTTCTTCCAGATAAGAGAGAGTGAGACCACATATCATACCATTTCTTGAAAGTCAGAGGATGACAAAGAAAGCACATGATGCTGAATATGACTTCCAGTTCCTTATTATTATCTCAGTGGAAAAAGAAGAACCTCTTTTGACTGTGAAGACACTTTGTTCCATGCTTAGCACCAAACAGAAGAAAACCCCAAATTGCTGAGTATAGATACCAGATTTTAAACAATCTCAAGCTGCATTTCAGTTTCAAATATTCTGCTTTACTTGAAGTAAATTTGACAGTGTGATTTATGTCATTATGAAGGAAGACTTGCGAAATTTGTATTCAGCTTTGGAATGACCTTCTGTTTGGGCATGATTGCCTGATCCTTTTACCCTTGCAATTCAGCATGTGTTTACATTTGTAATTGTCAAGTGGAACTCTGTTTTGTAGAAGGAATAGGTGTTTTTTAAAAAAAAATCCTAGAACTCCATTCCTTATCCCCTGCACATAGTTCTTGCACATCTCTATTCCTGTCACTGTGTGTGGAGGTATGTGTGTGTTTTGCAGAATTATTTCTATAATTCTGTCATGCATAACAGCTTTGCAGTACCTCCACAGTATCCTGCATGGATCTGTTTGCAGTCAGACTAATGAATTTTCTTGATACCTTTCTGATTTCTTTCATAGTGGTGCTGAACACCCTCCGGCATCTCAGTACGACGACCTCAATTCTGTCAGATCCATCATGCCTGCTAGAGCAAGCTGCTGAGGCCGTTAACAAGTCGAACAAAACAGCTGGCGAAACCTAACAACCAAAGACAATGAGTTGCTTATACAAGGGGTGGAGAACCTGCCAGTCTAGCAGCCTGGCCAGTCTCTTTTCAGTCAGTGCACTTTAGAAAGAATTCTCTCCATCGCTCAAGACGTTTTTCAGGGCATCTGGCTCTGCTTTCAGAATATGTGGAAGTATGATGCAACATTGTCATAACGTTTTGATTCCTCTTCAGTGCTGTGCTGTACTCCGTTAAGTGAGAAAACACCAAGCTCAGGTAAATTTAGCAGGTTTGAGTTCCTGCAGGCAGCAATATATCTCCATCAATGCAGCATGCATCTATATGCAACAAACATATTTCTATGAAACAGCTTCAAGTACTAAGTTCTCTGAAGTGTACACCAAGGAATGTTCTCTTCAAGGGAAATACACTTTCAATTTCATGAAACAAAATGTGCTTTTTATTTTGTTTTCTGGTATTCAGTTACATTTGTTTTACTTGAATAGTGAAAATTGTTAAACAGGATCATATTAAAAACCAAAGGAGAAGAAAAATCCATCGATGATGTCAACTTGTGGCAAAAATATTAGAATTAAACTCTCAGGCTGTGTTTTGTGTATTTTTATTTTAATGAGTGAATCATTGCATATGGTCAGTTTCAAGATGTGCTTTATTTTCTAGCAAATAAAGTAGCTGATTTGTATTCTTTTTCCTGATATAGCCATTGCCAGTGAGTAGCAGGCTGAGCAGTAAGTGCAAGACAACAGTTTTAGATTGCATTGATTCTGCAATTAGGACAGATACATTACATACCTGTTTAATCTAAGAACTGTTTTCTTGCCCTCTGCAGAGTTCAGCTACCTTCCTCATAAAATGTGCGCATATAAAACACATCCATAGATAAATGTAGTAGTTCTTCACAGACAAGAGTAGAGTTTGTAATGTTAAGAAATTGGCTTTTTTGTTCTCTCAGAAACTACATCAAACCACATGGACTTATAATCAGTTCTTTGCTTCTTTTTTGCTTGTTCTTTTTACCTTCTATCTGAAAAAAACTGCAGGACTTAGCTGAATTTGGCCTGTATGGGAAGGTTATGTTCAAATTGAGTTATAAAACATACAAAAATGTATTTAAAAACTGAATACTGCATAACATTTTTCTGTGACGGTCTCAACAAGTACTATGCTCTGCTGCAGGTAAACTGAGACTCCTTACAGCAGTGATAGCCTGTCCACCTTGAGACAGCACCGGGATATTCATTCCATCTGGTTGTTCATAATCTGGAATGATCCTCTGACCACTGTAATTCCGCTAATTACTTGATTAGGATTCTTAAGAGCTATGCAAATGGTGGGTAACGTTTCCCTTGGACCTCCTCAGAGTGGTTTTCTTCCAGTATCAAAAGTGGGCTGCGTGGAGACGATCAGCAGGCTATCACAGTGCTAAAATGAGGAGCAGCTAAAATATTTGGGTATTGCACATGCTGAAATGGGGTCAGTAGGTTTTCCTTCGGGGGATGTGGTTTTTCTCTACGTTGTCCCCAGTCTTCTCCACTCGGTGGGCTAAAGTTTAAAAAGAAACACTAGGCTTGGGGAGTCGGACTAAGCATGGGGGGAGTATTTTCCTTTCTTCTTTGTTCTGAGATTTTGCAGCTAATGGATTTCGTTGCAGGGTTTGCTTATGTGTGAGCAGGACTGTAGCAAGAAGAAAGCACGACAGGTTAAGTTAACCCCAGGGCCCTCTCCCTGAGCAGAGGTAATGTGAGTTGAGGAATTGGGGGCTGAAGGGGACTGCTGGGGGTGGAAAGGAGCCAGAGGGGAAGATGAAATGGCATGATCTAAGTACCAACATGCCTTTCTGTAGCTGTGCAGACAATTGAGGAGATCCTCTTTTTTTTTCCTTTCTTTTTTTTCTTTTTTCCTTACAGTGGATCTGACATATCATTGAAGTTTGTGGCATGTGTGAAAACCTATGTCCCTGTGACAGAACCAGCAAAACAGTCCTCAACAAAGGAATGGTTTCTTGAAATAGTGTGTAAAGGTTGTCATAGTAATTAAATAGTGAGTAGATTCAGGGGGGATCCGTATCTAGGTCTTTCATACATAATATTGTAATCAATTAAGCAATATTCTTTGGGATACACCTGGATAAAAAGTGTTGAGTAAGTGTAAATTCTTTTTTAAATCAGCACTTTGAATCTTCCCATTTTTGTCATTGATTGTGAACCTGATTCCAGGAAAGTCATTTAACACTGTGATTAGCTGGGGAGTGTCCCTCGAGTTAGTTTTTTCTTTACTGGGCTATCTCACTGAGATGCAGAGATATCGACATGCGTATTTGCATGTTAAAAATATGTATCCGGTTTTCTAGAAAGAAATCAGTAGGCAAATTGTCCAAGAATAGACCCACTTATGTTTTTTGCTGTACTTTTCAAATGAACAGATTCTGTAGTGCCTCCCCTGCAGTGTGGTCTCCTGCTTGCCAGACAGTGATTGTGCTTGATTTTTGCCATGTTCTTAATCATGTGTCTCCAACTGGGGTTGCACTAATATCAATGCCCTTAGAGCTTTTGTCTCAACAAGCAAACTGCACTACAAGCAGACTTCAAAGCCCAGGGAAGTTTGACACTTCTAAGGTTATTCCTGTCATCTCAGATCTCACTGAATGTATTGAGAGCCAAAAAGGACCTTAAAGGAATAGGAAGGGATATTGTGTCTGAACTGCAAAAAATTTTGTCCATTATTTTTATCTGGATGTGGATAGAAAAACCATGACTCGCATTGCCTCATGAGCTGGTTACAATTGGAAAGAAAGGGCTTATTTTAATAACTTGTGGTGGAGAAACAACCTTATGGCCCTATGAAAAGACTGCAAATCTTAACATAGTAAAGAGAAAAAAAATAAAAATTGCTTACTTAGGCAAGAGTGTAGGAGGGAGGGAAGGAAAAGTGAAAAGATACTTCCCACGTAGTGCAATTACCAGAAATGACGTGGCTGCTCTTTGAAGCAGTGATTCAAGTGTATTTTTGTCACTCTATTATTGCAAATCAGATTTCTTTTCTTTTATCAGTCAACCTTGTGAGGAGTCTTATTTCACTTCATTTGGAAACACAGGAGGAAAAAGCTGTATTGTGTCTCACACCTGCACAGTAGTAGAAGTACTGAGGATTAGTGCGAAAAAGAGATTGACCACGTATGTATTAATTCCTGCACAGATTTCCACTTTGGTTTATATTTGAACTCTTTAGTCTTTCTTACCTATTGAGGAGTCTAAATAACTATATTTCTTTAAAAAAAAAAAAAAAGTTTGGTAACACTTTCTCCATTCATTTAAGCAGTGAAATTTCTTCACTGTCGCCAAAGTATACTTAAGCAAACAAAACACACAGTGCCTATATTCTATACAGAATTACAGATGGTGACTGTCTGTGTTCAGTGAATTGGTGCTAAACTTTTAGAGAAATATAATTGGGTACAAGTCATAGTGAAATCCAACATATTTCACTCAATAAGGGAGTGGCTAGATGAAATATTTATGGCCTGTGATATGCACAAAGTCAAATTGAGATTGTCTAGTGGTTTCTTCTAACCCTGAATTCTATAAATCAGTATATTGTAGATGGCCCCTACCCCAAACACAGGTTCTGGAGGACTTTTGCATTATCTGATATAGTTATTAGGCTTGTGTGATGCTCCCTGTTAGCAGGAGGAATAAGAACAGAGAAGTGTATGCTTCATCTTGACAGTGATCTCTGCACAAAACCAAAGGATTCTTAATTAATATCATTTGACCAGATTGGCATGTTCTTCCATGCTTTCCTAGACCCCTCAGAAAGCCTTCCTTGAAGGGAGACTTCCTAGAATGTTTCCATCTGTGCCTTAGATCTTGGTGTCACGTATGTGTTTGATTTCTCTTCGAGTCATACATTCTTCCCCCTAACACAACGCTGTGTGGAAAATTCAGTGAATTGACAAAATGGGGCTTCCCTGGTTTCTAAGAGGATTTTATCTGCGTGGCATTACTGTGTCCCTTTGAACCCGAGGTTGTGAAAAATTCTCTGTATGTATGGAAAAAATTGCTTGCTGACTTCACTGTCCTCCTCTCCCATGTACACAAGCACATGTGCACACATGTACACACTGTCCCACCAGAAGTTTGACAGAAACCCAGTAAATATGCGGACGCTTAAATCTCTGAATCTGAAATGGCTTGAAAAGACAAAGGGCTGTCAAGTTGCATTGGAAAATAGCATCCCTTTACTTGGTGTCTTCAGGTTTTTCTTACATTCCCTTAGAGTGTGTGTGTGCATATCTGGTAGAGGTGGCTGGGGCAGGTAGATCTTTTTGGTTGTTGTTGTTTCCTTTTAAAGCCCAAAACTCCTGAAGAGCAGTTTGAAGCCAGGAGAGAGAAGCTCACTGCAACAACATTCAGTAAGATAATGCTTTCATAGTAGAAGTTATTTGAAAGCTATTTCACTTTCTCTGGAGTGGATAATTCTTGCCTTGATGTTGCCAACTAGAAAATACTGCTGAAAATAGAGTGGATTGTTAACTGTTTTGACCTTTTTCTTTCTTTCTTTCTTTGATTCCTTTTCACCTTTATTGCATGGGAAAACCCCCAGAATCAAAAGGCTGATGATACCTGGTTTAAGTGCTTTAGGGATTCAGTTATACCAATCTCTATGGACAACTGTGGATGACTTTATAGGAGGTTTTTTGATTAGATGAGGCAACAGGAGTTTTCTTATTACTCCTTCTCAATGTATACACTTGAGTTTCAAAGGAGATTGTTTGTTTGGGGTTTTTTCTTTTACAGGACCCCAATATTGTTCCCACAATATCAGTTAAGGTCTCAAGTTTCCTTTTGTTTCATTCTTGGTTGGATTTCATGCTCATTTGCCGTGTTAGAGCAGAAGTGGTAGTACCAAATTGTAGCTTGATCCGTAAAACTTGATTCAGTTACAAAGAAACACATCTTAGGTATGTTATAGAATGGCTTTCTAGCCCTTGTCTGAACTGCTTTTATATCTGAACTTTTCCAACATGAATAAGGTTTTGAATCAAAAGATATCAATGTTAGGAGCAAGCCTTTTAATTACAGTACAATGAATAAATAAATTGCTCTTTTTCTTCTTCTAACCTTGTATTTAAATGTGTTTTAAGTGAATGGAGTTAATTCTTGTTAAAAAAAAAGGACAAAAAAAAAAGGTATGAGGACTTCAGGTTGTGCTCTTGCTTTGCCTAGGTTTCCTGTTCTGTTGCATGACAACTTCTGTTGTGCTGTTGATACCTAGCACTTTTCAGTAGGTCTGTTAAATTGTGCAATGCATTTTTTATATTTACAACCAAAACAATAAAGGTTATTTTTTGGAAGAAACTGCTTGTAATGCCTTTATTTTCTAATTGGATGTGGGGAAATGGTAAGTAGAATTGTTCCTGGACTGGGACCAGCACCTGCCATCCTTTTTGCGACTCTGAAAGGTGGCAAGGGCTCATTCCCTCTTAGCCATGCTGAAGTTAACCTGCTGGGATCCATGTGTTTGGCTTTCCCATTGCAAAGCTTATATCTATCCTCTGCTGAGGTCCTGAAGCTTGAAGCATTTTTAAGGAACTCATTGCCCCTTGGACTCTTCTTGACTGAAAGAATCAACTCACTCTGAGCTTACAAGTGGTTTCTTTTTCTCATGCATTG